GAAAAGTTCCACTCGAGCCGAAGGCTTCAAAGCAGTTAGGCATGAGTTATTAATTACGTAGTGCCTAATTATTTTGCGCTGCGGATATCGTTAGATCCATGACTCAATATTCCTACAGTATAAAACTAGGAATACTGCGTAGCAAACATCCAACTATTAAAATATTACATCGTAGAATGCATTTATTATTCGATGTCCATAGTACATATGTACGTATGTATAAAGTACGATCTGTTCTAAACATGTATTTCATTTATAGCTAAATAATAGGCTATAATGATCCACAACCTTCACTATAAATTGATGAGTTAAAGGTCATTGTGTCTAGCAGATTCGATTATTTATTTAATTGTATGCATGTCACCCATGATACAATAAAGCATCTTCAAATCTGATTTTTGAAACGCCGATAATTGTTATTAACGAATGCGATCATTCAATTTTCTTTATAAAAGATAAGAAGACCTTTACTCAGTCAATTCCTAGATTCCTAAAACTATTAGTTTATTAGGTAGAATAAATTTTTCAAGTTTACCATTAACATTAAAAAACGAAGATAATATATAAGAGTATAAACCTTATCTCAAAATTTAAATTCCTATGTTAAAGAAGCTTATTTATTTGGTTTGAAGGTCGAAACTCATTGTATGCCAATAAAAATAGAAATGGATAATGAGGCGCACTTATACTGACGATGAATATAAGGTGCAAATGTATGGCATCATTTGAATAATAATCAATTATTCATGGCATTTTTGGATGCAGTTGAATTTTTAAAAGGCTTTCGAACTGTTTTGTTTTTGTGCGATATGGGATAGGTATTGAAGGAATGTGTCATCTATTGCTCGAAAAAGTTATGAAGAAACATAACACATAAAAGATAAAGATAATATATATAGAAGCTTCTTATATTAATATTACAGGACGTATTCGTAATTATCTATATCAATTCCAACATCGATTCATTGAAATGATGGTCGACAAAATCGATTATATGAAATAATTAGACCTATCTGCATATTTATATAATATATATAGTTACATTTAACATTAACGTTGAGAAGTACTAAATTACTGAAAATTTTTGTATTGTAGAGTGTTCTGTATTATTAGAATCCATAAACAATACAGTAGCAAATTCATTATTAATTTTGCANGAGTTAGAGATAGCTTTAAATAAAATCGAAGTGGTATTGACAAAACAGTATTGTATAAAAACAAATAATAGTAAAACAAAAATAGTGGTATAGCAGGGAAGAAAAAGTAGAGAAAGTGCGAATATAAAGGTAGGAGACGAAAAATTAGAAGTGGCTGATCTATCTAAGAAGTCAAATTAAGTCAGGACGGAAGGAATAGTAGGGACAGAAAGCATAGAAACAGTTAAGGATGTGGGTTATTCTAGATTTAGGGAAATGCGAAGATTAGCTCAGGATAGGAAAGAGTGGAGGTGCGTGTCCAACCAGACTTAGGACTGACGATTATATGATGATGAACTCCCCAAATCTTTTCTAACTACAACACTTTTAGGGTTCCGTACATCAAAAGGAAAAAAGAACCCTTATAACATCACTTCGTTGTCTGTCTGCCTATCTCTCTATCTATCTGCTTGTTAAGACCATTTTTCTCAGGAATGGGAGAAGGTATCAAGTTGAAATTAATATCATATTAATCAGATCTTTAATCTATTGGAGCAGTAAAAAAATCAAACTTTTTAGTCATCGCAGTCAAAAGATAGAGCCGTTTATGTCGCATATTTTGACACTCTTAAGGAATCAAAATATATAGGGGTTCCCCTGACCTAGAATAATGAAATTTAGCAAGAAGTAATATCATAAAACACAAATACACAGAAAAATCCGAAAGTGGTAAATCTGCAGTTACATCATTTAAAAAATATGTTTTAATTGTAATATTGTAATTATACGTTTCGGGGGCTGATATTTGGGGGAAACTTAAACCACACTCGGAAAAAACAGCAAAAATCTGCGAAACTCGATTCCCGTGACGGACATACCTGAGTTACTAGTAAAATTAATAAAAAAGCGTACTCAGACAGCAAGTCGCCATCTGTAGATATTTTCTGTAAGTATATACTATGTGTAGGAACTGCTCTGGTAGAAGGACGGAGCTAATGGTGGACCTGGGTAAACTATAATTCAAGCATTGCAATTTCTGGTCAGTGTGCTAGCCCACTTTGAATAAACTTTACCCCACATAACACTATTTTACGGCGTTTTCATTTAATGATGCAAAATTATCTGTTACTTAAGATCAAAGAAAGCCCGAGAGGTGGTGAAAAATGGCACATATGAGAGAAAGTTAATATGCGGAATACTAATGTTACCACGAAACCTAACACGCTAGCGACAGGGCGAGTCAGAGAGGCGTCGGTGGTGATACTGTTAATTGGAAAAGCGACTCATCGGTGAGTCGCATTAACTTAATAATTTGCCGGCAGAACGACTCACCGGTGGATCGCTGTTGATGGTCTCATTTTCGGCACCTAAAAATGCAATAATTTTGAAATTACACCCTCAAGATATGGTGGCTGTATAAAAATTTATTATCAGCTTAAGAAATATTCGTTCAAAATGTGGTGTTACATGCGAATGATGAGGATACCGTGGATAGAGAAGGTTAGAAATGAAGAGGTATTAAAAAGAATAGATGAACAGAGGACTCTACGGAAGTCAATAAAAAATAGGTGAGATAAATTGGTAGGACACCTTCTCAGGCATGGATGGCTAGTCAGAGACATATTAGAGACAGAAACAGGAGTTAGGACGAGTAGAGGTGGACCTATATTAGATTACTGTTCGCAAATAGTTGTGGGATGTTCTAGTTTTAGGAAAATGCGAAGATTAGCTCAGGATAGGAAGGAGTGGAGGTGTGTGTCCAAGCAGGCGTTTTGAGTTACTTGAAGCATTAAATTTTTAATTTTCACGGAACTCAAGACGTCTTTGATTAAATGATTCTTAAACTATACGAAACTGCGTGATCTCAAAAATAGCAAACAGTAGGAAATAAATATTCAGACTAAAACATTATTTAACACTAATATTATCACTGAATTTAACGCGTTAGCGGGACACCAATACTTCTAATTGGAAATGCAGCTGCATTACCCGGCGTTAATATGTTAAGGGGTTTTGAGTTATGAGGTGTTATATGTATATTTATGGTTTACATTTTTATTTTTTCTCTGCAAAAAAGCTGGCGAGATGCCTCACTATTTGGTAGTTTCTCCAAATTACTAACCAAAAACGTATTTTTTATAATTTAGTGTTGATCATCGACAGCATTGGCCGAAAATTAGTATTGATAGATACATGAGTATGAGTAGCTACGTGTAACGAATCGCTAATTTCTGACCCATATAACTACCCATAGACTATAGTGCATTTGAGCAATTTCTTATAAGACTAGTTGACGCGATCATCTGGAAAAGTACAACACTTGTTACACACGCATGCGGTGCATTCTCGGACAATGGTTTGTGTGCCGTTTCGGTACGATACGCATCGTTAAACAAAAGTGCATTTTAGTTTTAGCAACACACGCGCCCTTATGCATACATGTACCTATATTATAAACACTGGTAGATACACTTATTACATTTCTGCACACTATTAGCCACCGCAACGAGTCTATACCGCACTGCCCACTTTACCATTATAACCGATAACAATTAAAACGCATGTATTACCGATAAGGAGCAATCTCTTTAGCTAATGACCAACTTCGAGGTAAATTTGAATAAAACCGCTCTTTGTTCATACCCACGTATATAAACAACAGTTACGAAGTTGAATGGTTTTTACAAAACCCAACAATTTTTACGTCTATTCAGATGAAGTTCTGGATAAACATAAAATAAATATAATGTCTATTAGTACCTTTACAGACTAAGACAAGTCCCTGAAAGAGGGCAGCAGCTCTTTACGTACTCAGGGCGGCAGAGATAGGGGTAGGTGCAATATTTCACNATAAAAATCAGGAAGTTTTAATGAAATTGTCCCTGTTGCTCATCGTTCATAACCACATTTTGAAGAAATTTTAGGCATTTATTGATGCACTCAGAAATATTGACGTCATATATTCACTCTTTAATAACGGATCTCAGTAAATGTTTCAAGAACACTCTCCCCAAGCTAAACAAAAAAGATTTGATTACTTTAAAACATTACATACTGTGCAGTTAAAAGGATTAGTAAACGAATTACGGCATATGTCGCCATCTAGTGATATTTATTGCTAACTGAAGTAAGACAAGGGTCTTGTGCAACTGAATCAAAATAACAACTAATTCGATATTATATATCTAAACATGCTAACAAGAGGCATCTTCGGTTTCTTCGATGATTTGTGGAGACTGCCTATGGCGTGCTGATGAGATCAATTAAAATCGAAATCACGATTCACAACTAGCAATTTTAATAAAGTACTAACCAAGATGTCAGATGATTTAAGAAGATATCAGAAAATTAGCGCAGGATAAGAAAGAGTGGAGGTGCGTGTCCAACCAGTCTTAGGACTGACGACTTTATGATGATAATAATGTAATTAATTATTCTTTTACTATAAATAAAGATATTTTTGTGTAATAAACTATATAAAATCACTGCAAGTGCTTAGAGCTCTCTCTAGAATACTCTAAATGGTTTTAATATACTCAATAAATCCCCAGTGAAGGCAAATTTACATGTCTAACGCTCTCCATCCTTCCGGAACAGGAAAGAAATCGCGTCGTATTGACCAATGTACTACACCTGCATGCCTTGGTAGATATTCTTAAGGATATTAGAGAGTATTATTATTAGACTAAAAAAATCAGTTATCACAAAACTTGTGTTTTTGGAAAAAAATATTTGATCTTCCCATCTTAAAAGGTCATTTCTGAGTTTTCCCCATTATAAAATTATTCTGTCGACAACACAGTTGGTTAATGAGGTAAGAAACGTAACAAACAGTTACTATACTTTTGTGTTTTTTATTTTCAGGTTGGTTTTCTTTAACGAACGATAAAGGAGAAAAATGTGCCGTAACCCATACAACTATTCTGCAGCTTGTGAGAGATCAAGTGTGCGCTTTTTTAAGTGTACAATCTTTCTCAGGATATACAGCCAGTAACCATGATCCATTAGGTACGTAAAAAGCATTCAATTTGTACAACTGAAATTTTGTTAGTTAGGTTGTGTTAAAACAAAACTATTATACCTAAACATAAAGAATGGTTTCAACCACATCAAAATAGATTCAGTAGTTCTCAAAATATTAGATTCATTTGCATTTTACTTGGCTAGAAACAGCCACGCTATTTTAAAAACCAATCAGATTTTGGGGATGAAATCTTTACGAGCAACACAAAGTGTGAAATTTGCCAATACAATTTGTATTTTATTTTTACAAGTACAAGTGGATTCCATTAGCAATATCGTTGCACTTCGTTAAAATTTTTTTCACTGAATAAATAAACATTATTCGAATGATCAAAAGCATGATGCCAACTGTTCGTTCCCATTATTATTAATGTATTTCGTTGATTGCAGATAGCCGAACAGGGAAGACTCAATACTTAAAGACTCAGATTCGTGGCGGTCAAGTCTTTCAGCTCAGGGCTGTGTTCCAGCATCGCGACAAGTACGACGGAGGCAGGCATTCCACCAAGTCATCACGATTGTCACGATCTGCGAGAGATAAAGATTTGGCCAACCGTTATGCACAACTCATCGGCCAAAATAATCAGGTAAGTTCGCGACTGCAGAATTTCTCATTAGACGAACTGATGTCTACACCCAGAAGCATATACACTAGAATAAACTGTGTATGATGGAAACCACACATAATTACGCTGCAGCTCCGTATACCGTGAACGAACAACACATTCGCTTATGGAAACAAATAGATATTTACAATTTACTTCAATTATTAACAATAAGTATTTCTTCTAATTTTCTTAAACGATGATTTACAAATCATAATAAATTGCAACAATTTTGCTTTCCCTTTCTTTCGATACTTAGGCATGTACATCTACGTAGAATAGAAGCATAACTACTTTTCATTACAGATTCACTTATTTTTGACATTTTCTGCAACATGTTTAGCAATAAAATGCACGTTTTATAAATATCATTTGCAATATTACGAACTACGGTTTGTCTCTATTCGTAAAAGGAATTTCCTCACGCTTGCGTAACAAAAAATGTGAATTTATTAGGACAGTGTAACTTTTCTCTGCCCGTTTATGTGAAACTTTTAATAATAACCACTGGTTTGGAACAGTTATGTTTAAAAATGGCACCAGAATTGGCCTCGAGCTTCTAATTTATATATTAAACGGTTTTATTTCTTGTTTACTGCTTCTGTGTACGCGCCCAAGTGCCACCAGTAACTTAGGAAAGTACCAGCATTTCAATTTCAAATTGACCGTTGCTCCTTTTTTATCACTTACTGCTGAATATAATACATACAGAGTCTGTAAAGTTTACATTTTTTACTGAAAAGGTCTTGCACTCTACCAATCTTATTATTTAAAATAAACTTATTAAATC